CAAGAGGTCACCAGAATGCTTTCCATCTTTGCAAACACTATGAGATTATTAAAAGGTTCCTTTCCCGAGTTAGTAACAGTCATCCATGTAGCTCCAAATCAGCATGTGAAGAACTACGTCACTGGAATCACTAACAAGTGGCCTGTGCCTACTGTATTGATTCCAGGAGGATCCCTGCACCAAAAATATGATGCATTCAGTGTAAGTGAAATGAACCTTTCTTGTGGATGATATAAAACTCAGTGGCTAGGATTCTCGCTTTAAATTTAAGTTTCCATGGCATATTTCCCAGAAAGTTTGATCTATCGATTCCTGTTGATGTGAATGAAAAAATCACCTTTCTTGTCACAATATGGGTTCTAATTAAGTCCAACCAATTTCTCCTTTAGCCAAAACATATTAGAAGGCTGGTTTGTATTTGCAAAATTTTTAAATATCTAGAGTTGACAAGTAATCGGGCTGTTAGCAAAGTTCACTGCAATGTATTAATTTTTTGTCACTTTGTTTGATAGCCAACAGGGAAAGAATCTGAGCATATCTAAAGCCAAGTTTTCAGACTCCGTAATTTGGAATGCGTGCTTTATTAATTTGTCTATTCCTGCTCAAACTTGTTACTCATGTTGACCTGCAGGCAAGTAGTGTTGCGTTATGTGCTTCTGGAACAGTTGCTTTGGAGTTGCAGCTTGCACGGCTACCATGCGTAGTTGGTTATCGAGCTCATTTCCTAACTGAGTGGATTATTCGTTATAAATCCAAGATACCTTACATCTCCCTCCCAAATATTCTCATGGATTCAGCTATTATACCTGAAGCTCTCTTTCAAGCATGTACTCCAACAAACCTATTCTCATCGATATTGTAAGTTTTATTTGTTTTCATTCAACCATGATCTCTTTCCTCTGTAGTTTAATTACTGAAAGACGGGGGATTTATAACTCAAGTATATATGATCCACCACAGGAATTTGATACACAACGATGGCCTGCGAGAAAAACAGATCATTGCTGCTGAAAAGGTTATCGGACTTCTATGCGCTCCGGCCAGAAATTTAGGTAACCTGTCACAGCAGCATCAAGGAGGGAGGTTTCCCCATTACACACCAAGTATGATAGCAGCAACCGCAATACTGTACCATGCAAAGCCAGAAGTGCTAATTACTTAATTTAAAAATGTTGTCCAAATGTTTAATATCATCTCACCAGTGATATTAAAATAGAAGGTGGAGAGTTTCGTTTTCACTGTCACTCAGATTATCCTATCCAAATATTCTCCTTGATTTATTTCCCTTATGTTGAAAGTGGTTTTTTTTTTCTGTTGACAAATGCTTTCATCTAAACGGATCCAATATGGGATTGGATTGGCCTGTATCATAATCCATTCCATTAACAAAATTGGACAATAATGAGAAACACATCTCTACTTGACATACTCATGCAAATATATACAACATTTACAACAAACATAACACAATTGATATCGTATTAAGGCAATCAAATTATCACCAATTTGGATGAACAGGGCTCATGTTCGATTAGTTAACGAGTTATGTTATCAGATCGGATCAGATAGCCTATTCCACACACCAAAGAACAGAAAATGAAAGAATCTAACACAAGGCATGGTGGATCTATCTTGTGCCGAGTCTTGTGCTTCATGTACAGGTGTTACATGTAAGCTTAGATCAGTACTGCCTTTGAGGAACCATAATTCACATAACAAGGCTGATATGTAGCGCAGTCTTCCACTTCACATGCTAACTTAAACCTTAAGACTCGCTCAACTCAAACAAACTCCTCAAGGCCACAAATCAAAACCGCATCCTATTTTTAGTAAACAACGCTCTCTTTAAATCCCAATCACACTATCAAACTCCTCAAACCCCAAAATCCCAATTTCTACTCACAGTCCCTCACAAAAAGCTTGACAAACCCTTTTTCATATATCAACCATGGCTGTATCAAGAGTAATGCTTTTACTTTGCCTAGGGACACTTATGGTAAGTGTGGTCTTGATCAAAGTGGCTGAGGCTCATGACCACCATTCTGGTCCCTGTCACGGGGACCCGAACAAAGGCGATCAATGCCGGGGAGATGAAGATGATGTAATCGGAGATGATGATGTAGATGAAACTTACAAGATTGTGAACAAGGTTGCAGTGTCTTTCACTGGTAGACTGGGGGATTTTGAAGAGGCAGGCTCAACACCACAAGAGCCAGATGAGGCACAGCCAGAAGATGCTGAGGAGGACCAAAGTCATCTGATTGTACTGGGACATTGATTAGCAAATGGAGCTAGCTAGCTAGCTACCTGTGCTTACACCAGAGCTGCAGGCTTTTTTATTTTTGCATTTGTTTCATATTCTTTCTTGGTTTCTTGTTTTAGCATTGCGTTTTCTTGTCCCTTTGAGTTGATTTCCTCTTTAGCTTTAATCAAATGTGAGATGGGTTCCATTATCATAAAAAGTTCATTGTAGTCTCTTGTTGGTTTTTTTTTTTCAAATAAAAATAAATAGAAGTTATTTTTCAACTTATAATAGCTTCAATGCTTGTGATCACAGACTTGGTCTACAGGAGGTGTAAGCTTTTCAGTTATTTATACTAATTCATTTTAGTTGTCACTTTTTTTTAATAGAAATGAGATACGTCTACATTAGCAGATCTCATTTCTATAAGAGATGTGGTCACTAATGTAGTCGGTGGGTATATGTGGTACTAAACAACTAATACTTTCACTGTCTCTCAATCAGTGTGAGATCCATTGTGCTGCCTAGAAATAAACAGGGGGGGAGCAAAATTCTCCTTGAAGCTCTGTAGTCTATAAAAAGGAAAGTAAATTGGAGCCCAAATCACAGGTAAGAAATTCAGTCATTGAAACTTAGGCCTAAAACTTGTATAGGAATCCTACCCCACCGCACCCCTAAAAATTTGGTCTAAAATATACATGTATGTAAGGATGATCAATGACAAATTTAAATTAACTCGGAGAGGAGTTCACATGTAGAAAAACTTGGAAACAAATACAAATTTTATACTCGGTCTAATTAGAAGCACCAAAGTAATTACAACCCTGATCAATCAATTAGCTTAATTAGAGGTAATTAGAATAAAATTAAGATCAATCAATTCCTTCCAAAATATTTCTGGACAAACTTCTTCCTATAAATTCCAGAGAGCTCAGCCTATGCAATTTCACTTCATTATAATTTATTTTAGAGACCCTCTCATTCTCATAGCCTCTTTGATAAAATGGCTGTGTCCAAGGCAAGGACTGTTTTGTCTTTAAGCAGCCTCCTTGTGTGTGCAATATTTTTGGTGAAGAAGTAGAGGGCTTGAGGATTGGCTATGGCGCTCTGCCAAGAGATGACATTCCTGGATGCAGCTTTATGCATCCAGAGAACTGCTACAAAGTGAAGATAAATCCATATCAAAGGGGTTGTGAGCCTGAAGAACGATGCCGGAACAGTCTGAGTTATCGTAAAAATCCTTGATTTTGTTCTTTGGCAGATAAAGATTTTGGTGCTTACCCAGAGAAGTTGAGATGATCTTGGTGTGACAGATTGATCAAAATGATCATACTCACTAAGTGGTGCAATTATTTTATTTTTTGAATTTTTTTTCTTTGCGGATTTGTGTGTTAAGAAAATGAGACACTTTATTCATTCATGATAGGAAGGCTAGAACTATTGAAATAAATCTATGCTTGTCTGAAGGTGAAGTTTTGTACTGAACTAAATAAACCCTTTTTTGGGGTTACATATCACCAATTAATAATGCAGCCTAATATGCTTTGTTTCAAATTTCAATTGTCAATTCTAGAGTATTGAGTGGAAGGTTACATGCAATTTGGTCATGTGGTAGAATTTCTCTTTGTAAACATCAACATCTTGATCCAGCACATCGACACTCAAAAGCCAGACTTCGAATGTGACCCCTCTTCTTTTTTGACAGAAAGAGGAAAAAAGAAAGGAGGTTTTTTAACTACCCTTGTTTTACTTCTTTTGAATACAAGAGACAAGAGTTTCTCACACAAACACTACTAATGTGTAATGGGATTCGAACCTGAGACCAAGTTTAGGTCTAACTGCCTTTTATTTAGCTATTGGCCAAGTAGGAGAAATGCTAGCTGTGGCTTGAATATTCTGTGTTTGGTTTGGTGTACTTGCTTCCTGTTTGTTTTTGCAGCTTTTGGTGCCTGTTAAATTATAAGACTGCTTTGCTTTTGTAGCCAAACTCCAAAAACCAGGGGACCTATCTACAAATGTTGAAAAGACTTTTCCAATAATAGAGAGCCAGGATCTTATCTTATGTTTTCTTTTTCCTTTGTTTAAATATTTTTTTTTGTCGGATTCCTTTATTTAAATATTACAGTCGCTTTGTTTGTAGTCAAAACTCAGAAGTATTGGGAGGAATGATATATAATTATTTTTTTCTCTTCTTCTTCCTCAGTTTTTCTACTTTATCTAACCTAAGAGCTGAGGAAGGGGGCAGAGTTTGGTTTCATGGCAAATTCTAAGCTGCAAGCATTTTGGAACCACCCAGCCGGCCCAAAAACTAGTTTGTTTACTTCTCTAGTTAATTATTTATGTTTCCCTTACTCCACAAGTTTTGAAATATTTGTGTTGATCATTTAGCCATATTGTTGTTCTTGATTTCTCAATGATGAATTGTTGATATCAAAGTTTGAAAGCTTAATCATACCATGCTAATCAGCTAGATAGTGCTTGATTAACATGCATCAAAGTTATTGAGATTCAAGAACATGTTTGAAATTGTTGGTTTCTAACTCAGAAACTACCTTCTCAGAGAAAGAAATCCTCATCAGTTTTTAAACCCAGGTCTCAGATTTGATTCAGATACAAGCTTATGAAAGAAAAATAGAAAGATTTGCATGACTTCAAGGATAATTGATCACTTTTTCCAAAAGATTAAAAATAATTTAGTTACTTTACTGAAATTGTGCACATATCACTTCCTATAGGAATGTGATGACAGCTTTAACTAATGATTTTTTTTTTTTGTGTGCGTGTAAAACTAGATAAAACTAAAACTTTCCCAATTGATCCTAGCAACTTATATATTAAAGGTTTATTATGTGTTTTAATTTTGCAGTCCATTTTTGGGCCCCAACTTTTAAATGGGGTTTAACCATTGCAAATATCCTTGACTCTTCAAAACCACCGGAGGAACTATCCTATCCTCAGCAATCAGGTTGGTTGAGCTGATGAAAACCCTTATTTGTTTGAAGCCCCTGTCTTGTTAATTATGCATACGAGTTTACATTAGGGCCTGTTTGGGAGTGTTTTTAGAGCAAATTTGACGTCGTTTAGCAGACAAAGTTAAAAGTGCAAAAGCGCTTCCAACAAAAGCACTTATGAGCAAAAGTGCTTATTGGAGAAGCACTCCCAAACGGGTCCTAATTAGTATCGCACTATGAATTTCTGGTTGTTAAACTCATTACTGATTGAAAGTTTTGTCATCCCCATTTGATGATCTCCAGTCCTTGCATGCAGTGGACTCATATGGGCCAGATACGGCACAGTAATTACACCAGTAATTGATTCTAAACCTCAAATTATCAATTATAGCAAATAATTTGCAGTTGAAGAAAGTTTCTTATTGGCCAAGAAATTTGCTGTAAAAGTTTGAGACAGATTATTCAGTTCTTAACGCTTGTCCATTTTGACATTGCAGAAGAACTGGAATCTTGCCAGTGTCAATTTTGGGATGTCTCTAACTGCCCTGTTTCAACTGTCACGAAAAATTCAGTAAGTTGTCATTTACATATTCCGTGTATTTTTTTTAAAAAAAATAATTAATTACAATGGATTTATTATCACCCATTTCCATATTTTTCAGGCATGACTTAACTGCCAAAACCCAAGAAGCTGATGCAGAAGAAGAATGAAGACAATCTCACTTCAATTTATTGTATATTAACTTGGCATGCTGGTGTAGAGTTGCAGTTTGTATTAAACAAAATTAGGGTCAGCAATGTGGTACATGACATGTAGCACAACTTCTCTTTATAAATATCTCTGTTCGGCACCTCTAAACCGCCCGCTTACTAGCCATTTAAAGAGTCTTAATTGATCGTCAAAATTCTTTTACTATTTTCTTTTTGGTCGAGATTCTTTTACTATTTGACGTCTTAAAAATTGAGCTGATATATAGGACAACGTAATTCTCAGAATATTTGCTTCCTAGAAAGACAAGAGTTCGATCATAATCTGAGTAAGTCATCCCAATTCTCAATCTGGGTTTCTTCAATTATGGATTTTTCTTTCATAATTTCATGATTGGGGCTTTGATTGGTTTTAGAAATTTTTGTAATATTATTTATGGTTAAGGTTACACGCAATTTGGTCATGTGGTAGAATTTCTCTTTGTAAACATCAACATCTTGATCCGGCACATCAACATTGTGCACTTAAATGCCATCAAAAGAGGCTTAGGCTTAGTTTGGGGTTGCTTAACTTTTAAAAGAAGCAGCTTATTTTTTAAGTTTTGAATGAAAAAGTGTTTGGTAAATCAAGATAAGGCTGCTTTTTTTCAAAATTGCTGTGACTCACAGCAGATTTCAGAAGCAGCTCAAGAGGTGCTTCTCAAAACTGCTGCGGATGGAAGCATGCGGAGCAATTAATGAAACATTCAAAATACCTATAATACCCCCATTCATTTTAGCAAATGACATATGTTATCCTCACTTTCTATTCTACATTAAGGTACTGCAACTCGATTCTTCTTCTTTTCTCTGGCAACTCGACTTCTGTCCGCAACTCGATTCATCTTCTTCCCCTCCGACCAAAAAAAAAACCCAGCCCCTAGCTCTCCACTCCAGCCACAAAAATTCAAACCACATCTTAAAAAAAACTCAACCCCAGCCCCCCAGTCTGTGATATCCACTCCAACCACAAAAGATCCAAACCCCAAATATATCTTCAAACATCTGTATGCTAATTGTGGAGGACCAAAATCGATAGCAACACAAGCATCTACCCTCCTTCATCAATGATTTTCACAAAAAATAGATTCTTGAACCCATCAACAATTCGTTGACCTTCTCTTGGAAACCAAAATCAAGGGAAAGTTGAAACTCAAATCAAAACCACAGGAAAACAAAATTTTCATTTGGATTTGATTTCCTTCTTGTTGTTTTCTTTGATGACAACACAGTTTTTATTTGGGTTTGGGTTGAGTTTTTGGTTCTTAAAATTCTTGATCTGGGTTTTTTCTCTTGGTGTTTTGGGGCAATGGAGAGAGAGATACAGGTGGGTATCGTGGGATGGGGTTTTTTTAGGATTGGGGAATCAGTGGGGTAAAACCAATTATTGCATATTTGATTCCTTATCAACCAATGATAGGATTGCAGAGATCTGGAAGAAAAAAAAAGTGGGGGGGG